AGATTTTGATGTTCATCATATTCATCATCATCATCAACTTCTGCAAATTTAGCTTGCTGATAAATTTGATAAAATTTATTAACTTGTTCAAGTAAGAAAATTAATTCATCAAAATCATGTAATGCTTGCTGTTCATTAAGTTCATTAAATTCATCAAGTTCATCAAATTCATCATCATCATCATTTTTAATATTATCGATAATATCTGATAGTTCTGGTATCTCTTTCACATACGCAATTAGACTTGTTACTTGATTATGCATAGCAACTTCAGTTCTCTTTTCCTTCTGACCTGCAAGAGAATCTTTATCTTCTATAATATCATCACTTAAAAGATCTTTTTTTCTGAAATCCTTATTTTTAGATACCATGTGATACTCACCAAAAGCTAATGCAAGTTCCTCCTTAATAAGTTTAAAAAGTGATATATAACTAGAAATAAGGCATAAAGGAAAATGTGTTTCTGATCGTATAATATGTTTTTTAAGACATATTCAATGATATATATGTCCACATGATAATACTGTGAATGAAAGAAGTGGTAAAGCAAAAATTTCTTTATCACAGAAGTGGCAAAGATCAAGTTTTAGATATGTTCATCAGTTATTTCAAAAGTATTTTTTAGGAAATTTAATGAAAGTGCTTTAAGTTGAAAAATCTCTGTATCATCCGCATGAATTTCTAAAGGACTTGCTAGTAATTCACTAGTCATACTGTTAAATTATAAAGAAGATTTCTCGCCGTCTTTTCTCCCTACATAAATATTTTTTCATATATCAAGACTAAAACGAAATTAGCTTTAACCTGAGAAAATTTATCTCAGAAATGAACGTATTAGAAATGAGCATCTTAGAAATAGATATCTTGGAAATGAGCATCACGGAATAAAGATCACGAATAAATCAGGATCAATGATGAAAAGATATGTTTTGATCCTTTTCAAATATATGTCACAAAAAAAAGACTACTATACTCCCAATTAAGGCTTCAATCATCGCAAAACATGAAAGCTCCTGAGATAAATATGATAATCCCTCCTTCAATCAAAGATCTTCAGAAGATAAGTTTTCTGATTATTTCTATACATCAATTTCAAAAAAATTTTCACTAAATATTGTTGGCTTATCATCCGCAGTAACTACACATATACTATTATAAGTATCAAGTGATCGCTTTACACAATTTTATGTATAATACTTTTAGAAGGCATTTTTCATATCTAGAAAAAAATAAACTGAATATTTATTGTGTCAGAAAAAATCTGTAAGTACTGCGATTTGCCTCCTCTAATTGCATATATGCATCATATCACTAATCTGGATTACTAGCATGAACTAAACTCTGTAATTTCAGTTGCAAAGAAGACAGGTTAGGCATACGTTTCCTTTGATATGCCCTAAATTATTATAAATTCTATCTACTGTTCATTATAATATATCTCCTGGCCGATCCTATTCAAATTTCATTTCTATAAAGCATAATACACATCTGTCTTCTTGAATACGTTTTAATGTGAGAATATAGTCAACCGTTAGATCAAATATACAGCCTTTTTTCTTATCTTAGCCTATATATCCGATAAGTTTTTCCTAAATAGATGGTTTCAATTTGTGCTCTAGCTGTCTTTTCTTTTTGATTTCTCAATCTCTTAGGTAATTTCAAGAGATAATAGGAGCATTTTAACCTGAATGAGTTGGCTTAAATATTTCACACGACTAACTGCTAAATATATTAAGTTATCACAGACTAGGTTTTCATCAATGATCTGAATACACTGTAAAGCCTTGAGGGTTATTCCTTGACTAGTATAAATAGTCATAGCATATCCAAGTTCCCAATCTATGTCTTTTTTATCTGCCAACATATGGGCTTTTTGCAATAGAAAGGGAGGAAACGGTTAAAAAATTAAAAAATGAACCAATGAGAACATTTAATATAATGTGGCTAGAGGAACATTTTTGGTATATTAAAGTAGAACAGGTTACATAATAAAATTTTTAAATAATTCAAATAATTCATAAAAAACTG